GCTGTTGTGACATGGCCTTGATAAACTATTACAACCCTTTCTCACCAAATGCTGCAGAACCTCGTGCAAAAGCTGCCGCGAATGACCTGTTGGGCTGAGCTTCCCTGGTTGCTTGCTTAGCCTCAGGCAGGGCGTGGAGACCACCCACCCTCCAGGTCCACGATCTACAGCAGCTGTCCGGGCCTGAGCGTGGAAAGGCAGGCTAAGTGTTATTATGAAAGAAGCATGCTTATTATTGCCATGGCCATTTAGACTGCTTGCAGCTTGCATCCGATTAAGGTTTTTCTGCTGTCGAACACTCCCAGCCTCAAAAATTCGCAGGGCGGAGACCGCACACCTGCTAAAAAGGATCCGGGCGTCCCTGGAGACGTGCCACAACAAGCCTGGCAAACGCTTCGCGCACTGCCGCACTCCGGATCGGGCGTTCAGTCGACGCGGCGGCGGCTCCATTCTCTCCCTCGTCTGACTTGGGTGTCTTAGCCCGCTTTGCCTTGGGTTCCTCTGCGCTCTCACTCGTGTGGGATCTTGTCGTCGGTTGCGACGCCACCAGGGCAATGAGCGGCCTATTATCCGAGAGACCGGCCCCCGTCTGTTCCTCCGCTGTGTTCCGTGCCGGCATGGCTGCAATTGTGCACAGAGACTTGAGAGGGGACCTGTCGCACCTTTTGCACCTGGGGGAGGGCTCTGATCCAGCATCGTGGCCACGTGGTTAAGGCAGTGTAAGGGGCGTGCATTCGATGCAGACTGGTGACTGGGTGATAACTCAGTACAGCAATGCAGCGTCTCAGGGCCGAGCCGCCGTGGTCCGAGCCAAAAACCTTGGTGTGCAAAGTATCGACAGATATGAGATTGCTGAGGGTGGCAGTGGCTGTGGAATGACAAGAGGTCTGGCCGTGACCATTGTGAGATTTCTGGCCGTTTTCGTCTCTCGCACTCATGCTGCAGTCGGAAGCAGCACGGGCAGCGTAGCCCGGCTTTGACCAACATTTTGGCCACCCTCCGGCTTTTCTGGCGCGGAGGCCGCTGGCCTTCAACTGGCATGTCTTCTGTCACGCGGCCACTCATTGGGCGCGGAGTCCGCTGGCCCTCACCCAGGATGCCTCTGCTCTCCGGCGTCCCTGCCTCCGCTAATGATGCTGGTGAACTGGCAACGACCTAGAAAACTGTGTTGCACGTGCACTGCGAGCTCAACTTGGAGTAGCTCATCATAGCTGAGAGGCGAACCCATCTGTAAGTGCGGGGCTCGTCGCCCCAGTGGTTGACAGACCTGGGCAGGTATGACTCGCAAGGACATGGTAGGGCGGAGGCGGTTGCGGAAGGCCATAGCCCAGAGTGAATCTCCATAGGCAAAGGTTCCTGTGCGGTGCTGCCATGTGTTGCAGTCGAGCCAGGTTTGGCAGATGCGCCTTCGGGGGGTGGAGTCCACGTTCCCCTTGCTGCGTGTGTGCCTGTCGGGCGCGGAGTCCACTCGCCCTGCCACAATAGGTGTTGATCGAGCCCCTTCTTCACGTAGACCTGACCAAGTTTGAGAGGTTATTGGGCGTGATGTGTGTTGTTGGGGTGAGTGCCTGACCTCAGTCCTAGTCCATCGTTCCAAGATCTGTGATGGTGCTGGAGGTCGGACCAAGGCGGCGATTAAAGGCGCGCTGTGCAGCTGAGGCGTTTGCCAGGGCCAAACGATGGGTGCTGGCATCAACTCTACCCTCGAAGGCTCTGCGGACCTTGGGTGGATCTGCAGCTGGGCGATCAGTGCCGGACTTAGGGATCGCTGTGTGGCTCCCCTGTTGACCTGAGCTGCATCCACTGATGAAAACCTGAGTAAAGGCGCTGATGCGTTCGGTGCTTTGTTTGTCGAACTGTCGAAGCAGGGCATCACGCAGCCCAAGTGGCTTCGAAGGCGCTTCTCTGGATCGCATGTTGAACTGCCATGACTTGCAAAGTGTGTTCCCTGATCTCAGCATCAGAAAGCAGGAGGCTGCGATCCACAAGATCATGCCCAGGGCTACCACGCTCCTCCACGCCTCGGCTCCCGGAAGGGGCCGATTCCTGAACCCTAGCTTGAAATTCTTCCATGGCATCAGCTAAGAATTTCCAAGGACCATGCGGCGCGCGCAATCCTAGACTACCTGGGGTGCTGTTGACCCCCTACAACGACGAGCAAAAATTCACGCTTGAGCCGGGGGCTTGGAAGGAGCATCGTTTTTCATTCGAACGCACTCGTCGAGTCGACGATTAGGCGGGCGCTACATACTCGCATCTCTAGGTGAGGTACGAGAATGGCCTATAAGGCACGCCGGATTACTACACACCGCTTCCCAAGGCGGTAGCCGTCTATTGCGGCTTCGAAAAGAAAGCTAAGTACCACGTCCTACCAACCTCTTCGAGGTCGGTGTGGGTCGCCAACGCCGTAGGCGTTTCATCATTCTGTACATGAAGGGCTGGATGAGCGGCTCCCTCGCTGAGACTCCTTGTGAGCTCACTGAAGAAAGCCTCTTGTGGCTCCCCTTTCGGGGCCGTCATGCCCATGGTACGGTAGTGACCCGAATCCGGCGTGCAGCCGATGTGGTACACTACCGAATGCAGCACATAAGCTTGTGGCATCGTGTCTATGCCCTCTGTGAAGGTGGGCACCTGAAGTTTCGATGGAAGGGGAGTGGGATGTGAGAGTTTACTCACCTCTCCATCCGTGTTGCCCTGAAATCTGAGCAATTGAATGCAAAGAAAGGTTGGTGCCTCAGTGATGGCACAGACCTGGCCAGTATCCTGGTCATAAGCCCACTGCTCCACCAACTCTTGCAGAGTTTTGTGTGGTTTGCAGGGCAGCATGATATGTGGCACTTGGGTCGCACTTTGGTGCGTGTGGCAGTGGGGCCCCTGCATCGTACGGGCTTCCCATTTCCCCTCCAGGGCAGGAAATCGAGTCTGTCTCTTGATGTACACTAGTAATTCAGCCACGTCGTGTTGCTGCTGTGGGTTCTGCCAGGTTTCCAGCAGTCGCAACCACGCTTTTCGACGATGCAATTGCACGGTGGTACCTGAGGCAAGCAGAGGTCGCATAAGTGCATGCATGTCTCCGAACTCCGAGCTATGGGCTGAGGGTCTTGCCTGGTAAATCCAGAGTAGTGCCTGAATCAGTGCATTGAGATAGCAGTAGTTACTGGGGTTAGCAAAGATGGTGCGAACTGGTGCAGCAAGGTCCGACGCACTGAAAAGCACTCTGGCAGGTGAGCTGTTTTTTCCTGCTGCTGCAGACTTTCTGGCTGCTCCCCTTAGCAGCCAGGCTGAGAGGTCCCCCTCCTCTTTCCCTTTTTTCTGTGTGGCGGACAGTTCCCCCACTGTCTTGCCTGGCCCATTGGGTTGGGGGCCGGAATTCAGCTTCCCCTTGGCTCCCTGGTGCCTATCATTCCGCTGTAGATCTTCAGATAATACTCCTTTAGGAAGCGTTTCAAGCGTCTTGGTACGCCCCAAACTAAAAATAGTTTGTGTCGGGGCCGTGGCGCAGCTGCCCTTTGCATCTGGGGCCGATTTCGGTCCTCCCTTTGGTTTGGTGGTTGAGGGCTGGCCCTTAGCTTTGGGAGCCAATGGTGGCTCTGCCTTCTTAGGGCTTGAAGCTTTCGGGGCCGAGGGCTGCTCACCCTGAATAGGGGAGTGCCTTGGCCTATCCATTGCTTTCGGGGCCGATGATGGCTCCCCTGTTGTCGACTTCACTGTTCGGCCCGGAGCAGCTGCTGCAGTTCTTTGGGCAGCGGTCTGTGGCTCCTCTCCGGGCGTAGCCGGGCTCCGATCAGCCGAAGCACCGAGGATTCCGTGAACTGGGTGAGGATCTCTCGGATGGTTGCTTTGGCCGGCGCCTCCATCGACAGGGTCAGCTTGAAAAGCGTGACTCCCTCCTTCCCCTCGTTCATGCCTCCCATCGCATGGAATGCATGCATCGTGCCCTCCTGAAGGATGAGGGACTTCAACTCGCGAAGCGCTGTCAGGGCCGTGTTGTGGGAAAGCGGCGCCCCGCTCGTAGGCTCGTGGATCTGCTTCTCCGGGTTCCACCTCGTGTACTGCCACCGCAAGGGGTCCTGTAAGAGGATCTTCGTCCCCTTTGCCCTCTGTTTCCTCCACGTGGCTGTTGTAAGCATCAGTTGGTTGATGATTCCCATGCTTCCAGAGTCTACGAAGATCACCCATGATCTGTCGGCCTCCAGCTGTTGCAGCGCCATCTCGTGCCTGGCTAGCATCCTTGCCAGCGTGTGCAGGTGCGCTTGCTTCGGTCCTCGTGGCGGGGCCATGGTTGGCTCCCGGGGCCGTTTTTCCATCTTGCCGGCTCCCTTTCCTGCTCTCTTGGGAAACTTGTTCGGCATCAGCTCGTCGTCTTCCGACGGGTCGTCCGCTGCCATCGGGATGTGTGTGCCCCACATTTGGGCAACCTCTTGCAGCGCCCTGGTGTCGGACATGGTGTTGCAGGAAAGTAAGCTGGAGGAGCGGGAGGCACTTGGTAGTATGGAGCCGAGGAGTCTTCGTATAGGAAACTCTGCAAAATTTGCACGGTCTAGAAAGCTCAATTTTTTCAAGGGAGCTAGAGATAGACGGCTCGTCGGCGACATTGGATGGGGACGGTACTCGGGTGTACCAACACCGAATCTCGCCCGCATCTTCCAAAGTCAACAATGCAGTGACCAAAGCATGAGCAATCGGACTCCGACTTTTGCCGGATATGGCAATATCGCGGGCTGTGTTGTTGTCTAGATGACACACCAAGGGGCGGTTTCGGAACACATTCTTCCAATGCACTAACGCAACCAGCAGCGCGAGGAATTCTAGCTCAAAGATTATCGTTTTCTTGACCCCCTCGCCAAGAGCGGCACGTACTGACTCTTTGGCACAGAAGGAAAAGAATCCTAGAGCATTACCATCAGCCCCGAACACAACGGCCCCCAGCCCCGCACACCACTCCGCCTGGGGCTCGTAGCATGCGTCAGTAAACAGGTAAAGCGGTTCCTGGTGATTAGCTACCACTGCATGACAGCTCTGGACAAGGCCCTGCTGTCCACTATCTGGGTGATGAGTTGGCCTAGCTCGTCGATACGCGACGGGGTGTTCTTGATCAAAACTTGACCTAAGTGGGCATTGCTAAGATCGAACAACACACCTAAAGCTTTGAACACTTGGCTGAACTCGAAAGCCTTCTCCCCACACTCGTCGAACTGCCACCCCAGTAGGTGGAAGAACGCGGTGGCGGCTGCATCCGTGTGGCGAACATCGCGCGTTCTGGCCAGAGTGACGAAATCGTCATAAAGGACGCTCCACATCAGGCCGAGGCAAGTGCACCCCAACCACCATACTGAGGTAGCGGCACGGAGGAACCCGTATACGGACCGTGCCGCTCCAAACGGCAGAGCCAACAATTGATCGACTTCCACAGAACACTGCTCGGGATTCCAGTGACTGACAAGCGCATGTTTGAGCGAGGGCGGGTGGATCGGCAATTGTCGATAAGCGGATCGCAGATCGTACGCCCTGGCGGAAAGGGGCTCCTGAGGCATTTTGCGCATGGCTGCCAAAGCCGCCCCCGCGATAACGTCGGGCCCATGTGGTTTGGGGGACTCATGAACCATCACTAATTCATTAACCCCACTAGCCGACATGTCATCCACCAAGCGAACCTTCGCGCCTTGCTTAAGCCCAAACCGCCTGCTAACAAGAGAGTCGAGAGCAAGCTCGTCTCGGGACAACGGGCCCTTGGCCCAGGACTTGTTACGCTCTTCAACGGTTTTCGCGTGCACCACAGCATCTTCCTCACCTTGCGGTCTAACACGATCGAGGATCTTAGCCCGTAACGACGGTCCCCAATCACAGAGATCCCAAGCTGACTTCGTGGGGGGTTTAAAGACAGGAGGGAATACCCCGGTGATTGGTGTAGCACCCGTCAGCAAAATGCCTTGGGTGACTTCGTCAAACACTTCTTTGTCCGGGTAACCGTATTCCTCCATCAACTCCTTCCACAGCAAGAGCTTCTTAGGGGCTAAGATGGATGAAACATGAGGTGCCAGGGATTTCTTGAATGTGGCCTCTGATTCCTCAAGCTCTTTGCTTCTAGCAATCCACTTCTTGAAAAACACCGCACGGCTTCTAGCTAAGCATTCAGAAGACTCACTTGCATTGCGATCGATTGCACTAGCTAAAGGTGGGGGTAACACGAAGTCATTTCGACAAGGGTGTCCCGCAACTATTGCTGCTTTGACAAACTCGTCGGGTGATCTAGGTATCCCCCAAGCTGACACGAACTCAGAATCACTACCCCCTTTAGCCGAATTACCCGGTGTGACTCTGAGCAACTGTGCACCGCTGGGCAAGATGCGAAGCTCACTAGTGACGGATGGTGGAAGAGTGAGCGGGCCCTTCCAAGCGAGCCATGCACGGGATGGGCCAATCTGCGGTGCCATGCGTGAGCACAACCTGTTGACGCTCGGAAACCATGGCTGGAAACTTGGACGACTTGGGTTGGGATAAAGTCGCCGCTTTGGCGCTGAAATCTTGCGCCGGTCGCACCGGGTTAAAAGACTTAAGACAGGAAGCAAAACGCACAGCGAAGGTCCAGGAGAAGACACGATCGCCTGTTTCGGGCGGCAGCTTGGATTGATGACCTTTGCACGGCCGACTGAGTGCTTGGAAGCAAGTGCGGTTGCTGGCAATGCGAGTGGAAACCGAATCGGCACTGAAGCAACACAAGTTGAACGATGTGACATGCGGGCAATGTTGGCACACTCGCTGGCCCTCGGGCGTGGACCAAAAAGGGCTGGTAGCCGGCAGCTCGATGGAAACCACTTGGTTGCATGTCACTGCCGTGTCAACAATCGCAGCTATGGCCATGGCCCAGGCGAGCTGAGGCTCGACGAAGTACGGTGGAGCAATGTGCAAAACCGCAACATAGGGCGATTGTAACCACTCTTGGATCAAGGGTGCTGCACGAGTAACATCAAGATTGTGCGCAACAGAGGCGGCCGACGAACTAGGCTGGACATCAACAGCTGACGGACCTGGATACCCATGGGCCCTGAGGTGGGAGGTCAGCCGACCTAGACCAGAGAACAATTCCAAGCATACGGGAAATGCCGGTGCACTCGATGTGGCGTGGAAGATGTCGGCGGTCCCGATATCGGGTAGTGCAAAGTGGGCCTGCTGCAGCGCCTGGATGAGCGTGGGCGGTAAAGCTTCAAACCCCTTGACAGTGAAACCCACTAGGATTCGCGTTACCCCGGTCCACGGCTCGGTCGCGTGAAATTTGTGGGAGTCGAAGCTAATCACACCTTGGTTGAAACAGAGGATGCGACCGGTACCAGCTTCCGCATTGCCTGGGCACGGTGTGGAGCCATCCCCCTGCACCCAAATCCCACCACCTTTGAACCTGCTGAGGGCAACGGCAGTGTTGTTCGAATGAACGGGAGTTGTTGAGGTCGCGATGTGCAATAGCCTGTTGGTTTGTGAGCAATGCAAGACTCGTGAAAGTGGCAGTCGGCGCCGCTGCACGAAGAATGATTGCTAGTAATGCTGTAGCAACTGGAAATGAAGTCAGGTTTTGGCGGGCTCCAAGGACCTCGCCCCACACATTGGCACCCGTGGTCCACGAGTGCACACATCATCAGATGGGCCACTCATCCGAGCAGGAGTCTCGGAAGGTAGCAGAGATACAAGTTTGTCAATGCATGCAATGTTAAAAACTCCGGATTGTATCACCTCAAAAGCCAACTGCTCTGCTGGGTGATCGACAACGATGCAAGACACCTCCAGCTCAGCACACAAGCGCTTGAAGACGTTTGGATCGAAAGCCGGCGGGTTGCATTCACAAAAATTTTGGGCATCAGCAGTCGCCGTCGGCCCGGAGCTATCCGGGCCTGCAGCCTGTCACTCTTTATCCTTATGGTTAAGCAATGCATGGTCTCCAAAGCAGCGTGCACAAACATGCTTCCTACGGCAGTTCTGAACGGTACATTTGCCATGAATCGAGTAGGTGAAGCAAATGGGTTCACCCGAGGGCGTGGCCGCGTGTCCACCTCGGTCTCGAATGAACTCCGGAATGCTAACCCATGGTGCTGATTTGCCCGTGCCTTTCTTGTCTTTACCCTTCCCCTTGCCACCCGGCTTGGTGACGCTGGACTCGTCGTGCTGAGTCTTGAGCTTCTTGAACGGAGGACGGGTAGGGGGAGCCTGCTTGCTTTGAAGATGCATGAGCGCGAAGCTTACTTCATATGACTCAAGAGCGTGATGAAGGGCATCGTCGAGTGGGAAGGATCCCGACGCATCCCTCTTGGGTTTGATGTTCTGCTCGATCAACTTCACAAAGACAAGCCTGTCTGCCTCCACCAGCTGGGTCACTGATACTCTGTTGTGGTTTGGTGGCGGTTCGCGACGCATATGGCTAAAAAGGCGCATGAGGTACCTGTCGTATGCACTCCAAGATAAAGCCTGGGCGAAGGTGTAAGCGAGCCCCCTGCGGCGAAGCGCCTCCTGGACCTGAAGCGCGGAAGAGGCTGGCATGGATAGCTCGTCCTGTGCTTCTCGCACAATCAGCTTGCTCTGATCGATCTCGACCTGCCGCGATGCGTTTTTCGCATTGGTCACCTCATGAATCCTGCTCACGCACCCATGGGGCGCCAAATATTTCAGCTGCCCGGTAGCCTCTTGATGCGCACACTCATCGAGCAGCTTCCGACCAGGCTCCAACGGGCCCTCGATGCTGAGGCCCGCCAACTCTGCTCGCATCAAGGTCATTCGCCTGTCACGTTCTGCCTCCGGCACTCTCTTGGCTGCGGACTCGGGCTCAGTGATCTGAAGTCGTAGCTGGCTGAGCGCCAATGTCTGAGCCTCGAACAACAACCTCCTGAGCGATGCAAGGTCGGCCGCTGAGGCAGCTGGCACATGTGTCCTAGACCAGGTGCTAAACTCCGCTTCGGGGATCACCTGGCCCGGCTGTCCGACGGCATAAGCAAGTTGCCCAAGCGTACTGAAGCCGTGGGACCTCAAAGCCTCTAAGGAGGCCGCCCACAGGCGAACCTCGGTGGCTCGCTTGACATGACATCACAAAGATGCAAAACGCAATGAGCAGATACTATTATTGCGTGTCGGAAGTTGACCTCACCCTTAAGCGCTGCCGTCCTGATAAGTCGCCTCGAGCCGCATGGCCATACCAAGACATTCAGTCGACAGATCTTTTGGGCCATGCCCGGTCCGGCAGGGCCATGCCCACTTTGCCGCTGTGAGATGGCAGCCAAGAGGCCCTTGCCACCACTTCCACTCAGAACACTCTCACTCTTGCATGGTGGCTTGACTCTACCAAGCTGCAATAATCCTGTGCAACCATGCAGAGAAAGACATCAGCTCAGGAACACGAGCAGCAAGCCCTCTTTCAATCACGAGCTGGAGTTTCGCTCGCAAGTCTTGCACATGAGATTTCCCATGCGAGAGATGTCAGTGACCACCCGGTAGTGATCTGTGCGCGGCCGTCCGCACACCAAAACTTTATCACGGTACATTCTACGCAAAATCTGGGACCGGCGATGCACCACCCAGCCTCCAGTGGCCACAACGGCTTCTTGTTCCCGTGAACTCCGAATGCGTTTGCCTGGCGGATCTGAACACTCACTGTCAGTCGAGCTACTGCTATCTGACGTGGAAGAGGAACTCTGCCCCTCGCCCCCTGATGAGGTGCAAGCATCTACATTACGATCGGAACCACTCTCTGCCGCTGCATGAAGGGGAAGTCCCACGTCGGGCAGCGAAGCTGGGGCTGGAGGCACAACACTTGCTGTCGGAGGCGGAAAGGCCCACATGCGAGCCCTGGCTGCGTCTGGCGCACACGTTCCTTGCCTGATGAAGGTCATGAGCACTTCAAGCTTTTGAACATGCGGCAATCCCAATTCTACCGAGTAGATGGCCTCGGTGCCTTCAGTCGCGTAAGCGTGGCGCCCCAAGCAGCACCGAGTCAAGCGGTCATGCCCCGCTTTACTGGCCCAACTCAAGCAAGTCCTCTTGAGGTGTGGCTCGACACTTTTGGGCTGTCATCAGGAGGATCCACTGGGAGATTCAGCACCAACCGCAAGAAGACAGACACCTCCCCCGAAGTGATACTCCGGTTGCACAAACCGAGCTCCTCGAACGATTTCGGTGGTTTGAAGAGCGGGCCTGAGACATGCCCTTCCAAAACCAGCCCAACCCTCTCGAAGGCAGAGCGCGCCGCAAAGGCCCACGGTCTGCCGTGAACACCCGACACTGGAATGATGATGGGCAGCAGCTTAAGTTTCTTTGCGGTAGCACGGGATGTCTTATGGTTCCTAGTGTACACCACAATGTAACCCTCGCGACCTTCCTCGGCAACTCCCTCCGACAGTGGCTTGACGTCCCACTCCACACGCTCAATGTTTTTGAAGTCACTATGCCGTGCCCGACCATACAAGCAGAGCAACAAGTAAGCACACAGAGCTTTGTCCCAGCGGCTGGTGCCTTCTGCATGCAGAAGGTCATGAATCTTGCAGATCTGTGCCACGCTCAACGGCGCAGCCTGCTTGACGACACCTGAGCGACTCAAAATTTTCTCAGCTCGGCCCACACAACGGCGACTAGGATCCTCAACGTTGCCCATGCCCATGACATGCTTGGCGAACCTCAAACACGACAAGAACGAGCTGGCCGATGATGCTGCTGCTGCCGATGCATCCAGAAAGGCTAGGTACTTCCGGTACACGGCATCACTGAAGACTGAGCCCTGGCAGCCTGACAACACGTCAAACCACCTAAGGTATGATAAGAAACCATTAGCCCTCTTGGTGGCGGTGTGGACTGAGCGGGATCCGAAGCACGCAAGGATTTCTTCCTCTTCGCAAGACACAAGATTAAGCCACAAGATTAAGCTCTTTGCAGTAGCGACCAAGCACAAGAGCCCACTTAGCAACTGCTTGTCTAAGCAACCGGTCTTCCTGGGAAGAGTCGTCCTCGTCCCTGAGAGGCCGGATGGCATGAGCAGCTAAGGATTCCGGGTTGAGCAACGGGTTTGAGGGCTTCTTGCCAGGCTTAGGCACCGGAGGGCCCGGCACCGGCGGCACACCACCTGGAACGCGGAAGACCGCGGGAGTGAGGGATGCTAGCACCGTGGGGTCGTCGTCTGAAAAGATTGTCCTCATGAACGGGGTTTCCCAAGGCAGCATGAAGGATGCCAGGTCAGGAGCTTGCTCGAATGCACGTGAAGCAATCAAATCAGGTGCAGCGGCTACATCAACTCCCGAGGGCCCTGTGGTTTCTGCAACTGGGGCTCCTGCTTCCGTGTCGCAGCGACCCTCTTCGCAAGCAATGCTAGTGGCATCGTCAACACTGGCCACAAGTCCTATACCCGCAGCGAGAAAATTCCTGTCACTACGGCAACCCGAATCAACACTGAGGGCATCCCAAGGGTTAAGCCATGGGCTGTGTTCGCACTGCCCCGCAGACAATGCCTCCGCATCACGATGAGGGCTGCCGCATGTCTCGGAGAGCTCGCGGTCCACCGAATCGACCGGAGGAAAATCTGCTCTAGGTGACCCCTGGTCCAAAGAGGCATCACCCTGAAGCTCGGAATCCAAAGCTTCCCCCGGCAAGTCAGAAACCAAAGCTTCCCTCCCATTAGCCGAAGCAGGTGGAGAATCTGTCATCCTTGCATAAACAAACGGGCCAAGCTGTGCCTTTCCTCGTAAGCACGATCCAAAAGATTCCTGAAAATGTGCCAAACTCCACGGCAGACACCGCGCAACGGTGCAAACTCTGACGCGCCGAGGCTTAACAGCAGCAGGCCGTTCGACGCCGCTGCTCCGAGCAACGCAGACAGGAAAGCAACACGAGGCCTCACAAGGATCTGAGAGGCCCACCCGCGCCTCCTGGACTCCCGGTCCAGGAGAACCAGGAGAAGATATCGCCGCGGATGAGGCGCGTGCGGGCGATGGCGCGGAGCGAGGGCCATGAAATGTTTTTCCACGAAAACTTAAATGCAGCTGAGTGCAGAGACTACTGTGATGCACACTGCAAGTGCCACTAGATGCACATGCACCCATGTCTCTGTCACAGAGCCGCTGTAGAGAGAGCGGCGCGGAGCACAAGTCTGCAATTCAAGGAAATGCTTCAAGGTTGCAATGCACTCACCTTCCAAGAAAAGCTTTATCCCTTTTTCACTTACTCGAGGTGGCTGGAAAAATTCTCCCACGTGGCACATAGAATTTTTCCCAAGGTACAAATTTTCTAGCATTAAAGCACTAGCAGACAAGTCTGCAGGTACGCTTGCCGACTTGCATGTCATCCACAACCAGCGGAGCTGCCCTGTGCTGATTAATCAGCACTGGACCAACGGTCTCTTATCATGCTGTAGCGATACCACACACTTGATGCGGCATCGAGGTCTCTTCGCACGTCTTCGCACCCCTCATGAGTGTGACCTTCGGTCGTACTCGGTACGACCTGAAAACTAAAGATTGGCTCCGAGGCAACTTTCAAAGTTCATGTGTGTGTGATATGGTTCCCAACTCAGCTATGTCAACGGCGATCCCCTGAATGCACTGAAAAGGGGACATCATGCCACCGAAGAAAGCATAGCACGAAATGTGGTGCTCAGCTGAAATCTCATGTTCTGGTAGTAGATACCGAAAGCGTGAATTAATGGATCATCCTTGCCACCGACGTCGATGACCGTATTGTTGACCACAATCATAACCACGGTAATCATATGATTCACCTGGTCCTCGACCACGCGTACGACCTCTGCCAGGTTGTGGGGGAGGAGCTTTCCTTTGGGTGCTGCTGGCAGTTGAGTGGCTGAGGCTTCTGCATCTGTGACCGGCGTAATCATATTGCCGAATTGTCCAGGTGGCAGGTAAGCATCCGATTGGATGTGATCGATGGCCTGCAAATGAATAGGACGGCGTGGATTCGCGTCTTGTGAGATCTTGTGGGTCTGTCCACATACGGTGTTTGCATCTGTATGTTGAGGTCGACCATCATTGAGAGAGCCTGGATAGGAGGATCGCTCACCGCGAATATCATGATGACACCAGTTGGATCAATATGCAATGCACGATCATGTGCATCTTCTCGTGGAAGAAGAAGCGTGTACATGAGTCTCCCAGTCACGTTGCCGATGAGGTTGCCAAGTAAGGCATAACAACTCACGCGCATCTGTTCCGGAGTCTGTTTTGTGCTCTGTTGTTCAGGTAATTCTCCGGCTTGAGGAGTTCACGAGGGTATCCCATTGGGTGAGCGCCGCGAATCAGCTTTGTCAGCAGTTGGTTCACACGGAACTTGCAGATAAGGTATTCACCATTGGGGTCATGTATGTTCGCTTCTGAGATAGCGAATGCGATGACTTCTTCGTCCTCCACATCCCTTGAGATCTTTGTTGGTGGATCGACTCTTGATAGATTTGGTCCCCACGTGCCGACAGCATCGTACCTCTTATATTGATCAAACCTCTTCTGCATCTGTGAGTACTTCATGTCGCACCATCGCACTGTGGTGCTCCAGATTTTGTGCATGCTGTAGATCACCACATAAGCCATAAAGGTTGCCGCGGTGATGTTGGAGTCGACACTGAAGGAATTCAGAGTGCTTGAGAAGTAAGGCACTTGCAGGGCGACTTGGGCTTGGACGAGATCCGAGTCAATGAGCAAGAGATCTTCGTTCACAAGGATCGGACGTCTTTCCGCAACTTCATCGATAGATGCATTCTCATCAGGATCTTCATGTTCTCCTTCAGGTTCATCTTCATAAACCAGGTTCTCGGTGTCGACTTCCATCTCTGCTTCAGCCACTGTTCTTGCATCATTAGCTGACGCAGCTGCTGTTGCGGCTTCCATAGCATGTCTGATATCATCGTCGCGAAGGACCTCCGTTGGAGTCTCCCTTTGTTGCGTTGCACGCTGGAATTTGCCGCAAGACCAGAATGTTGACCAACATTTCGTGCATCGTGTCAAACATGATGGTGTCTCAGTAAGGCAATATGGCATTCAATATGGACATACTCTGCAACGAAGATCATCATCACGAGAGCGTCGGGGTTCAGGGGCCCTGCATCTCACGACGAATTGAATGATTTCCGTCATGAATGCATGCACTTGTGCCGTGTGCTCGCCATTCAATCAACGTGTTGGACGGATCGATAGCGAACTTGTCAGGATCGACTTGAGAACTTGAGTCGGATTTCTGCCGGTCGAGTGTCCGTTTGTTGCACATATCGGAACGTACCACCCATGGTCGAATCCAATTGTCGCTGAACTCGAGGTACTCTTCAGTAATTCCACGTGTTTGATACATTCTCGGCAGTTCTTCTGGTTGTATATTCGACATCGACGACTGCATCATCCAAGGGCTGAGCGTTCTCACTGACCACGTTTGCTCTAGACGGTCCTGTGAGGCGGTGCAAAGAATAGTGAGTTGCGACCTCAATACTGCGGCGTCAGGATTTCCACCAGAAGCCAAATTCCTTCGCATCCCTTCAGCAGCCCCTGTGGTTTGCACTCTCGTCGGTTCTGTAACGATCGAACCTTGGCTCAAATCCTTGGGGGAGAAGGCGAGAATTGCAATCACGAGCATCGCTGGAGTGGGAAGGTGTCGGCAAGCTTGAAGATCACGACTGTGGTACAATCTGGAATACCTGCGCAGCCATTCTCTGGAATCCTACCTAACCGAACGTTCTCCAAGTTCTGGCCTACGGTTTGTAGCCTCGCCAGGTATGTAACCAAGCGTGGTGAGGAACCACGGCCACGGCCCGTAGGCGAGCGATCTCGAAGTGCTCCACGTCGTGCTTTCTCGGCTTCCCAAAGTTGTCGAGCAAGATCGGATCGGGCAAAGCTTTGGTACTCGTAGTAGGTGGTCCAACTCGTACCGAAATGCCACTTCCGAATCGCGCTCATTCGGTATTGTAGAGTCGTTGTTCGGATCATGCGACGAGCCTCCTCGCGGTTGATCTGACGAATGGTACCACCGTCCAAGGGATCATAAAGTATTTCGTCGAAGACCCTGCTAAGTTTGGATCGCGAGTGAGACGGCTCCGTCGAAGGTATCATCATGTTGATTCCAGCAGCGATCTCCGAAGCCACAGACGCCCTGAAACCACTTATGGCAAATCAGGTCAGGGACCACCCATCGCTCGGCGATAAAGTCCGGGTGTAAGTCCGGGCAGTTCGACAGACGATCGCAGTTCTTACCATCGCGGATCCTGTCGCAGATATTTCGATTGATCCTCGGGCCAGGCACCTGCAAGACACTCGAATCCTTCACCTTCTCGGGGAACTGCTCCAAAAGGCTCGCCGGAACCTCGACTCCTTCGGGCATTCTCGTCGCATCTCCTTCGCACAAGAAAGCGAACAAGGAGGGTGATCGGCGAGACGACATGATATCGGACCGTCGTAGGAGCAAGGCAGTAACCCCGGGAGAGAAGAAAATTTCGAGAGTCTGGAGCCAAAATGGCTACGGATATGTATGCGATGGACGACCATTGAATCGAAGTGGTAATGTAAAGCCCTGGTACCCCCCATGAATGGCGCGTGCAAGCGCGGCAACCACTGCATGCCATTCAGGCGGCAGGGCGCGCACAAAGGAACGACCATAGGAAGGCGGCGCACGACGTCCACAACCGATGCAGCCAGCCGTAGTTGCACACGAACCGGGTGGTACTGGAACACAGCCCGTTCGACGTACCAGTTCAACTTGACAAGGTGGTCCGGTATCCCAGCACGATCCTCCACCTGGCGCCATAGCCATTCACGAAGAATCCAAGTCGACCGAAGGTAACGGCCCGGCGGCAGCGCAGAAGGCGGATCCCGCAACATACGCAGGAATTTGACTCCGTGTAGGGGAAGCAAAACACATCACTCTTGAAAGAGTAAAGTTGTTGCCCGTTTTCATCCGTACCTTGCGAATGAGTCGGGCACATCAGATCCATGCTGTCCTGAGAACCAATGAGGGACGGCGGAAGAAACGTTGATCAACTGACACGCATGTGTCCAGGACACCGAACCCTTGAACGACTTGGTGTGACTGTTCGCCGCCATCTTGGCAGTGACCTTGTAGGCAAGAGATACGTAGCCCTCCTGGAAGGTAGCATGCATCCAACCAATGCTGATGCCGTGCGTACGCTCCAAGTGTCGCATGGTGGGAAATTTGCCCTAGAGCTTTGACTAGACGGCATACAGGCCTCCGGAATTTATGCTTGTTGGCTGAAGGATGCCAAGCTTCATCAGGTAGTTCCACCCGGCAGAGTACGCCAGATAGCTTCGCCTGGACATATGCTTGGATAGCATTGGCCATCTGCACATCGTTTCCTGGTAAGCACCCACCATAGTAATCGGCCAACCTTGATGCATCGAAGGTAGCCAGAGAATTGCCCAAGTCCTGAAATAATGCTGCTTCCATGCTCCGGTCCTTGACCTGATCACCGAGTAGCTCTCTCTCTCTCTCTCTCTCTCTACTACGCAAGAGGGAGCAAGCGGATGCTCACCCCCCACCCCCCCCCCCCGCACGCGAGCGCGCACCTGCAGTCCACGGCAGGCTTTCATCCCCTTTCCAGTTGGAATAGGGCTCGGCTGGGAAGAAAGTGGGGCGGCTGACCAGGGTTCCCCCCGCCAAAAAAAAAGCAAGCACTACATGAACAAGCTAGCCAAGCGCAGCGCCACCTTGTCAAGCCTATACCCCGCTTTGAATTGACAGACAGGAATGGTCAGGGAGCGTTGAAAAGAACCTAGGATTGGGGCTGTTTGGCCCAACTGGAATAGAGTTTGCCCGAGAAGAGCCCGATATGTGGCCCGTTTAAAGAGTTCACTCCCCTCCGCTGTCTGGGTTACACTAGGCTGGAACAGGTCATGCATACAAGGACGGAACGAGCTACATTGAGGGCTCGGAAGGAGCTACAGAGTTACACTGAAGGATTGAAAGTACTGGAATCCCCCTCCAGGCCCCAGGCGCAAGGCACAAAGGTACATTCAGAAGACACAGCGCGCAAAGGCCCCCCCGAATCCATAAAATTAATCCTGTCTCCCCCTTTGTGCTGCAAATGGAAGATGCTGTACTAACGCGGCCAAGACTGTACACTCTTGAAGGAAAAGGAGGATACGGACAAAATGTCCCCCGACTATTGGCTCACTTTGGGCCTGCTGGTGGTAGTCCCTGTTCTGCTCGCCGTCTTGCCATGTGTGCTTGTACTTGCTGAATCGCACGTTGTAGGGGTTGTTGGCTCCCCCCGGCTTCACTCTGTCGCCTCGGCGCCGTTGTGGGTTCCCTCGGCGCCGTTGTGTGTTCGCTCGGCCGTTGACCAAGGATGCCAGCGCTTTCCCCCCTATCGGCTTTGTCGCCCCAGGGCCACGAAGCCTGGGCATCCCCCCTTTTGGTACCAGTGGCTGTGTTTGGGGGCTCTGGGTTCTCCTCGGTGTCAAAGGTGTCGTCCCCCCAATCAGGGACACTGTCCTCTCATCCCCCAATCGGCAGCGGGCCACATGTCTGTGTCGGTATTGGGTGTAGGTATCTCGCTCGGCCTTGTTGAGCATCTCCCCCGTGTGCTTCACATGCTTCCCCGTCAGCTTGTCGTGCTTGACTTCTGAATTGATCCATTGGTCTAGGTTCGGGTCTGGAACAAACTGGAAGTGCAAACCCTTTCGCGTCTTGAAGAGGACCTTCTCCAGGTGAGGTTTGTTGGCTGAGGTTGCGGCCGGTGTGCCACCCCGGTGCTGAAGGTACTGTCCCCTCCTCGTCTTGGAAAGGTCTTTCACCTGGTGTTTGCTTGCCCTTTTACCCCGTGCAGTCGGCACTGAAGGTCAGAGCGTTCGTGGCATTTCCTGAAACCAACTTGGCACATTCCCCTCAGCGATGCGGCACAGCTTACATATTTTCTCTCCCCCTCCTGCCATGGCCCACGTAGTTGTTCTATGCTATAATCTCGCCGTTCTTGACCCAAGTCACGATCTGGTATTCGTCACCCAACGTGGTAATTCCCCCGATCGCTGTGGCAGTCGAGGAAAGGTGGTGGAAGGTGAAGAAGAGTGTGTACTCCCCCACAGAGGAAGACCTTGCACGAACTCGGTCCCCCTCAAGGTTGTAGTGCAACACTCTTGCCCTCCTTGAGTATTGAGCAGGATCCTAGCGAAGGCGGCACGGGCCACTTAAGCAAAATGCGTCGGATGTGTTAGCTCAAGTACCGCTGAGGAGAAGCAGAAAGGGGGGGGCAAGCCCTAGGTCAACCCTCTGTCTCCCCCCCACGATGCAAGGAGGTGGAACAGACCTCCAAGCAAAGGTGCAGTACTTGAGCCAAAATGGCTACGGGTAGCACTCCTCGCCCTTTGAACTTCCTGGCTGGATCATCCTCCTTCTCATAGATGAGTCCATGTACGCGAGCCATGCGTATGTGCTCACCTTTCTTCTTTGCTTCGGCCACAACGTCGTCATATTCACGAGTCTGAGTGAAGTCAAATACTTCCTCACCACAATCCTTTCCTTTTTCATGAACGCTTCCATTGCTTTGGGATTGCTGATCATCTCCTTTCTTGTGACTGGACGTGAAACCATTGCATTGAAGCAAGGCTTCATTATTCATTGTTGGATTCTTGGTACGATGAGCTGTGGTATAGATGTAATACACAGCATAGCTGGAATCCAATTGTCGTTGAACACTGTACGTACTAGCTGGAACTGCCGGTATGACGTCTTCAAGAAAGCTTCGCGGACATGTTGATTGACAGAATCCTGCGTCCATTCCCAACCATCAGTGCATGATCCACCCATCTCGAGATCAATCGTGTCGCACTGTACGACTTTGGGAAATATCATCGCGTCCAGAACTTTGTTCACCATCTTCTTGCCCACGGCGGCTCTCTTCCTAGCCTTCCTAGCAGCTTTGGCTTTCTCTCGTTTGTCCTTCTTGTACGCTGCTGCTCGAGCCTTGGTACCGAATGCATCCCATTCATCTGGAGAATATGTGTTTAGGGCGTCGAGTAGGAACAATTCGCCGACCGTCGCTTCCAACTTTGTAAGGTACTCCTCTTTTGTCAATCTTGCATGCTTCACCATCGTCATTGAGTTACAGTTAGATCTTCCCATCACCTTTGGATCCCTTGTGTCAATGTTCGATATCATCGGACACCAGTTTGAGTTCCTTGAGTCGATGTAGAATATCACCTGGATCTTCTTCATCTCCTATCGGTATGAGGCGACCGGTGGGACCGACTTCGTGGTAAGGCAGATTATGATGATGATGATGGTCCGCATGTGAAGGAGCTTCCCCACCTGCCCGTGCCATGATCTTATCCCGCCATTGCATCAATCGCTCGGTAATCCATGGGGTCTTCGACGGGAAAATCTTCGTCCCCTGGTTCAAGGTCTGGGGAACATACATACTCAAGGTCTTCGAGTTCTCCTGGTTCGAGAGGAGGTTTCCGTCCTGGGCGTTGATCATCGTCATCTCAATTTTCGTCACCTCCATCTGTGCAAAGTTTGGGACATGGCCGAATTTGGGAACGTGAATTTGTCCATGAACGCTGCAGTTCCGTGTCGTCTTGCCCAACCTTACCTGACCGAGGTAATGGTGCTCCCAGAGGAGATTGTGTTTCCCCTGAAAGCAGAGTATGAGCGCATGAACTCAACGATTGAGGGATTGAAGGACAACATCAACTTGGAAGGAAGAGAGATCAAGGATGTTGATGGAGATGATCGACCGCCATCCTCGACCACTGCTGTCCGGCAGTAATGACATACCTTGCGAAGATGCCAGGAATGCCCTTTGGATCGAACTTCCTTGCATAGGTCTTCTCCCTGGTATCGGCAGGCTTGAAGAACACTTTCACGCCAGATGGTATGGCTTTACCTGTGAATCGTCACCCGTCATTCTCTTCCACGCTGAATCACCATCTCCTTCGACATCTTCGATGTTGCGATTGCGTGTTACGCAATTCAAGGCAAACGGCCAATATTGCGCAGGTAGTCCGGCATGTAGAAGAGATGTCGCCAGCGTGTTGTGATTACTTCCTGGTGTGTTCGTTCTCCGAGAGAAATTGTTCTTGGGAAGACCGAGCAGTGCGTTTCGAATGCGAAGTTGCGCCATTGCTGCATCAAACTCTGGCGCGACGTCACTGTAGGCGAGCTTCACCTTCCTTCGTCCAAAGAGTCTTCTCAAGGCATCAACCACTTGATCAGTGCGTCGAGATTCGGTAGGACTAGCCGCTATGACGCGCGTTGCCACATCACGAACGACCAATACTTCTCTCGCCTCCTCGTCGTTGCCCACACCCATGCCTGCTGCTTTGCGCATGTCTAAGAAATTCTAAGAAGTCGAGGTGGTCAAAACCCTCCATGACTTCAACTCCCTTTTGATTGCACCACGAAGTGTCCGGTAATGCTTCATCTTGGCACGAATGCATGCTTCGCCATAAGGATTCCGATATCGATGTGTGCATAAACGTGCAAGAGACTTGGCTTCCGCTTTGAGAGTCCCCACTTTCGCTTTGCGAACAGGTGCTCCTTCGCCTTCCACTTCGATCTCTCGTTCATCTTCTGCTTCTGGTGCTCGTTCTCCCTCTTCTGGTTCAGGTGGACCCGGAGGTCTTCCTGCTTCTGCCATTGGTATCGGCACACGTTGATGAAAGGGGCGTGGAATCGTCTGGTGCCTCCTGTGCAGGCCTGGCTTAGGGCCAAAGGCATGCTTGATGAGGATAATGAGTTGCCTGAAGGCAAAGGATTCACTGCAAATTTGTTGGACAACATATCAACATTAAGGAACTAAGGGGTCTGCTTGAGCTGGAGAGGCGTATATCCTCCAGGTTCCATGGGGCCCGACTGCTTGTGGGGTTGGATTCCCAGGTGGCTCTTGGGGAAGCGTTGAAAGGAAGGTCGGCCTCGGCCGGTCTGAACTCGCTTCTTCGAGGGTCTTCGGCCACGCACCTGGGCGCCGACCTTTACTTGGGTCGGTTTTCTTGCTTCCGCGGGCAACCCTTCTGACCATGGCAGCCGTGATCGCGAAATCCGCCTCCCGTCTGAGGCCGCTGCCCGAATGGTTTGTGCAGCTTGCGAAAGGGGACCCCTCCGCCTTTGATTCGTGGATGGCCGATCAGTTTGAGGTGCAACTTGACTCTCAAGGGGCAGGCTTTCACCCGGAGATGGTGGACGCTCTGCCCACACTAGCATCTGAAGCTGAAGAGTCGTGGGCTGAGAAACCCACTTTACAGACCAGGACCCCGCCGAGTCTCTCTGGGGTCAAGAGTGGCAGCGAGTCGTGCTCGCATTAACCGCGCTCGCGCAGCAGCGCCCGCGCTGCACATGGAAGGTCGGCTGAAGAGCGCGAGACTTGTGATGCCGTGCGCACTGGGGAGCGTCGGCGTCCCAACTGACTCACCTCTTGCCGCGACTGCCTTGCTCAGCCACGTGGCCTCTTCCTTCCTCCCTCCTAGAACTGGACTTCAGCAAGCAAGGGGGTATAGAATTTTTCTCAGGGTCCAATGGGGTAGCTCGAGCCTTGTTGCGCCGAGGGGCTGAAAGCACACACTCGGAAGGCTTGGGCAACGCAGCCTTGGTCTCCGTGCTTGAGGCGCTGTTTCGCGCCGGAATTTTCCGTACGTTTGGTGCCGCACCGCCATGTGCCTCTTTCTCCGTTGCTGTGCACCCACCTTGGCGCAGCAAGGGCCAACCTGCCCCAGGTCGGACTTGCTAGCCTCAGCCTCGTAGCCTCTGCTTTGAGGATAAGCCCATGCTTGCCAAGGCAAGCCTTGCCAATTCAGCAGCCTGAGCCAATACCTTCGGCTCTGTTATAAAGCCTCCGCAGTGGCCAGCCTACACTTGGTTTCGCTACAATACTCACAGAATCTAGTAGGGGACCCTCGGCTAGCTGCACAGCCTTACAGATCCAGCACAGTATAAAAGAAGTGTGAAAGTGCTAGAGCAGTACCTACTACTTCTGTTGCTACTATATTTCTGGCTCTGCTACAGCTACAAATCCCCCTGATCCTGCTCGTCCTGCTGCTGCTGGTACAAAACTTCTTGGTGAATCTACTAACTAGCTCCTGCTGCATCACTGCTGCCGCTGCTAATCCTGTTGCTGCTACATGCTACTCCTGCTCCTCCTGCTGCCGTGACTGGCTGCTTCTCCTCGCGATCCACTACTTCCGTTGGCATTTGCAGGCATGCCAAACGCGGCATCCGACCTTCCAACCCGACAACTCCTGAGTCCGACAGAATCTGAACAACGTTCGACAACTCCCAAGCTTGCCTGCAGCCCACAACCACCCAACAAGGCAAACACTCTGAAGATGGCGACCCTCGGCCGCCACAACAGTCGGGCAGCATCGATCTTTCTTGAAAGCGAAGGCTACGCCTTGGAAGGCACACGGTTGTTGGCCTTTCTCCACCTGGCAATATTCACTGCACCAACCCAAGCTGACTCACATTGCAAGTCCTGCCACTTTGCTTGGCAAGCTTGCGTGAACCGCACGACTTTGGTTTTTTCAATGGACCACCAAAGTACCAGGCAACCAATGCTTAGACTGGTGGAAGTGCCGAGACACAGGGATGGCACTGCTTTGCCAAATGGAACTGCAGCTTCTCGTCAAACAGACTGCCTGGGTTGGGATCCAAACCCTTGACATTTCGCACAATCAACACGAATGCGTTGGGGTTGTTTTGCGCACTGCGCATTCAGGTGCGGCAGATACTGGAGCGAGCATAGATGCGTCCTCACGAGGATCCGCGGCAGGAAACCTAGCCACGCACACACACACACAGAGCCTAGCCGTTAAAACTGGTCAGGTTGGTTTTGCGGGTTTTTCTGAAAAGATTTCCCTTCATCTGCACGACATGCAGAGAAGGCTAGAACTTGCAAGAAGAGCCAGTCAGCCAAAGAAACCGTACAAGCTGCAGACGATGCGTAAGGTCTAGGGCTGCGGTTGCTTCCACCGGCAGCCTGTCTCCTCGGCCCTCCCACCCAAAACTATCCCACAAAGTATCGCTGGAGCACCCAACCGCACCCGGAGAGCATTCCACACAGTTATCCAGCAGAGCACGAATGGCTGTCGTGTAAATGGGGATGTTTCGGGACCTCAACCCCGACACGCATTGGAAGCCCTCCGCTCTGACAGGGCTTGGTGCCAAAGAAGCATGGCTCGCCGAGCCCCGGTGGTGGCCGAACCACCTGCGTGCGGCTGAGCGAGAAAACGGAAGTCGGGTATGCGCGCAAAATGACCGCTACCTGGCTTTGTGAAGTTTGGCTGTGATCCGTGCAAATTTCCTCCAGACTCCCGGCTCACGTTGGGCATCACGCCTGTTGAGGCTTGTAAGAAGGCTGGGCCCATGTCAATGGAGGGACGTCGAGCGGCCAATTCCTGGCCGTTGGGCTGGTCCAGACTTCAAATTCGTGAACTTCGTGCCACCTCACCCGATTCTGTAACAAGACTGTGGTCTTGAAACATGAAACTCTTGATCACGATAAATGGTGACCCATAGGTGATGGAAGCAAGGCGATGGCCCCGTCGGGATGTAACATCCTACGGCACGTTAGTCAAAGTCTTGCACCTGCAGATCACACAGCGTAAACTCCACTCATACTATTGTGCAGCCACAGCTTCTCCAAGAAGGACAGCAAAGTCGCCACTTCCGGAATGTTGGCCTGACCAACACCATGGCAGCACAGGCAACCTCTGGAGGCGCTGGCAAAGGAACACTTACCACAAACGCAGAACCTCCTGCTGACATGGCTTCCAATGAGCAGTGGCTTTGGGGCAGGAGCGGTTCGGAGTGGGCGCGAAGAGAAAGTGGAGAATAAAACAACAACAGAAGGGGAGTTGTTGTCCAAGAAAGGACTGAGGAGGTGTTCAAAGAAGCTGCAACACTGCAGGAGAGGGGGCATGAAGGAGGCTGCTGTTCGAACGACAGCAACAACAAATACAAAGGGAAGCAACAAGCGCGCAAGGGGGCTGGTAGGATCTGATGAGGCTGCCAACGAGCCCAGGCCTGTGGCAACAGTACTAAGTACTTGGATGTCAAGTCAAACATTGCTCCTTCAAGTTGGAACCATCAAGTTGGTTGAGCTGCAAGACCCCGAGCCCCAACCGACACAGGCCTTTGCACCCGAGCTGGGGGATGTGGCAGGCGGTGGCGTGGAGCAGTCCTCGGAAGGCTTAGGAGGAAGCTTCATGACCTCGACCTCGAACCACTGATAGCTGTAAGATGCCGAGACATGTACAAACACACTTGATATCGCCTTCCTGAAAAAACCCGAACCCCCTTACCGGTCAACTTGCGGGCGTCCGAAGTTGGTGTGACGGACATGGCCCCAGGACCGGCGGAGCGCAGCTGACGGTCAGCTGACGGACGGCGAAGGGACGATTGCGCACGTGCTGTCTGAAAACGGCCGCAAGAAACTTCTCTGGTCCCGGAACATACAATGCACTTACCGTTTGGAAGCACAGCATACCCTGTTGAGAAGCAACACAACGCAGGAGGATGCAGGACGGCAAATGTTATGAACCATTAGTAATTATTACCTATTATACTAACAGCTGCGAGGTCGTCGCAATAGGAGTATGCTGAGGCCACTGTGCGCTGAAATCGTACTGCGGCACGGGATTCAGATATTCATTAATCGAATAACACTCGAATCCGAGGACTTTCAACGCGATTTCAACAAATCGAGAACTCAATGGCCTAAGCGATTGGCATGTTTGTGGAAACACGAATGAGTCTGGACGAAATCCAACGCAGGATTGAAGCTGTTACAATACTAGGGCATGAAGGTTCGAGGGCTCAAATTCGCTTGGTGCAGCTTGCCATTTTTGATTTGCACCCGTTATTTGATTGTCCCTCTTTGACTCGTCGTCCACAACAACTGACGATAGCGTAAGCGCTCACAAAGCCATGGCGAGCGTAAAACATGGAGAATGCAACATGCGGGGGTTAGCATAGGTGTTCAAGATATGGGAGATTCGCTGTTCACATACACCTTCTCACCGTCCTCACAAGCGTAGGAAACAAGCTTAAATCTACGGCAAAATACATCAAATCGGAAGATCTTAGTAATGTACTAGGGTCACCCGGACTGTTGTGCGCCGAATCACGTCGGCTTTTCGACGATGCAACAGAAACCCGAATCACGTCGGCTTTTCGACGATGCAACAAAAAACTGAAATAACACGCCACCACTGTTTCGTTTGAAGGCTGTGTTTCCAGCCTCGGCTGTCGTGTCACGAGCGTATTGATTCATGCGCAGTAACCTTCTTCCCGTACAACCGCTGTCACACAGGCTCTGGGCCGGCCGCGGCCTCGAGCCGAGAACTGCACTTTCAGTGCTGCGCCGCCAAACTCAGCATCGGGCACGGGCAAGCACGGTCGGGGTGACAGTGCGGCTAAGCTCGACACCGCGAGTTGAGACTCTCGTTGAGACCCGCCGTGCCGCGAGGGATGCCGTTCGCTACCTCAATACGCGGCGCATCCGCGACCGGCACCTCAGAATCATGTCAACGAGCCGGCGTCGCGGGCGACACCTGCACCAGCCTTCCATGCAGCAGGCTTTGCCGTGGGGTGCTCGAGGGGACGCACGGGCAGAACCCCACAAGTGGCTCCGGTCTCCGACTGCTGGCAGCGCAGCTAAAGAACACGTTTAAACACGGGACTGGGTGTAGTGTCGTTGTCCCACACGGGTGGGACGCCACCACAGGCGCGGCGAACGGCCAGACCAGTTTGGGACAGCGCTCGACATGCACATGTCAACCGAGTCAAGCCGAGTCAAGTCAGAAAGAAAAACGGGTCAAGTCACGTCACGTCACTGTCAAGACCACTGTCAAGGCCAAGTCACGTCAAGCCAAGCCACGCCAAGCCAAGCCAAGGCAAGGCAGGGCAAGTCAAGTCAAGTCATATCTGAAGCCTGCACACGGAACGTCTGGAACGCAGGACATGGTCATCTACGGCGATACTCCTCGGGGAGAGGCACTCTGCTGCGACGCGACCTTTGTCTCTCCTGTGTCACGCGATGGCCAACCGCAAGCGCTCAACAGATACAGACGGGGCTGCATTGGCCACCGCCACGCGCCGCAAAGAGGTGACGTACCCGGAGCTACTCCGCATCGGTCCCCAGCGCCTCGTCGTGCTCGGCTCGGTGGTGGGAGGCCGCTGGGGCACGGGAGCCCTGGCTCTCGTGCGC